GGAAAAATATTTAAAAAGGATAAGAAAAAATAACATTATATGCCGTGAGGAAATTGTATCACGGCTGTATTCTTTAATCGGCACAGCAGATGAACCGATGCCAGAGAGCATTTTCGTTTATGGACACATGGCTACTGGAAAATCGTTAATTATACAAAGTTTGCTCAATTATTTAAAGTATAATGTTAGCTATGTTAATTGTATAGAACATTTAGGTAATAAACACATATATAATTACATCCTGGATGATTTAGTCACATCTATAAAAGAATCAAGTGGTGACACACAATTGAAACATAACTGCGACAATATTATGGATTTTATAATTGCGCTTAAAAAGATTTCTTGCAATGATAAACGTCCGATTGTGTTAGTATTCGATAAATGTCATAAGATAAGGCATTTTGATGTGACTTTTTTGCCAGCGATCTTAAGACTCAGAGAGTTAGCCGGTATTAATATATGTACGATTTTGATAAGCGAGATTGTTTGGGATAAATTCAATAATAAGATAGGCGCATTGAGGCCTGTAAAGATTTATTTTCCCCAATATACGAAGGACGAATTAGCGCAATTGTTATTATTAGATAAGCCAATGAATTATGATACAGATTTTTATAAGAATTATTTGAATCTTTTTCTTTCTGTATTTTTCCGATTTTGTAGAGATTTAAACGAGCTTCGGCATATGGTTAAAATAAATTTTGCAAAATATGTAGAACCTATTGAAAGTAAGCGAATCGAGCCAGATAACGTTACTGCACTATGGAGGAACATCTCTGCTACTTTGAGATCTAATTTGGAAATTATTTACCTTAGAGTTTCTACGAGTGATTTTTTGCAACCTGATTATCAAATGTCTCGAGAAATTGAGTCAACAACAAAACTAGCTCTGAGTTTTGAACTACCGTTTTACGCGAAATACATGCTAATCGCGGCGTATTTAGCTTCATATAATCCTGTTAAGTATGACAAGCATATTTTTATGAAGCAAAGTAGTAAAAGAAAAAAAAAGATACGATCAATTAAGAAAACGGGAAAAGATGCGGAAAAGAAATGTCGAGTATTTACTATTTCGAGAATGCTCGCAATCTTTTGCGCTATTCTCGATGAAAAAGTAGACATCAATGCTAATTTACTCGCTCAAATCTCTACCATGTGCCAGCTTGGTTTATTATCTATCGTCGGAGATAACATTACGCAGTTGAATGAAACAAAATTCAAGTGCTGTGCAAGTCATGACTTTATTATTGTTGTAGCTAAAACGGTTGGCTTTGAAATAAAGAATTACTTGAACGTGAATATGGTTTAAACATGCTTCATATACACAATTTTTATGTTCATTTTTAGTTATAGTTTTAATCGTGTGTGTGTTTATTTCTAACAGCTTTGCCTAATGTTTTATTATACGAAAAATTCTTAAGTAATAAAGAAAAAAAAACTTACGTATTTATGTTAGATTTTTATGTTAGAATAAGATTTTATTTATATATATATATATATATGAAATTTGTAATAGTTTGTAATGTAATGAAATAAATTTAAACTATGAGAAATTTAATTTTGTGTGTAAATTGATATGATAATTTGATTTTTTTTTTATTAAAAGTTTTATGAACGTGTACATTGTATTTATTTAAACATTTCTTATTTTTCAATGTTAATATTTAAATGTTTAAATTAAAATATAGTTCTCGATTGTATACATAAATACATAAATAATGTACATAACAGCATTGTATAGATAATAATTCATTATAATTAAACTGCACAATTATTATTCTTATAATTTTAAGAAATCACTCAATAAAATGGACGCTATACATATATTTGTATGCATATTATTACAGGTTGCTCATTGTTATCCAAATGATTTGAAAACATATCCTCAAGAGATTATCGATATATTACAAACTCATAACATCATACTAGACAATGAAATGCGAATGGTAAGCATAATATACATGGAAATTAAATTATGCTATCAAATATGAATGCGTAATTATTACTACATTATAATTATATTCTTTACAGACATTTTGTAAAGCGTTGATTCAACTACGCAACAAATCCCTTTTAGAACCTACTGCACTTCTCAGTTTATTTTTTAAACTTTTAAGATGTCAAGATAAAATCTTGAGACAATTCCTCCAAACGCATGTTGTCACAGACATTAAAAATATTAATGCAAAGCATAAAAATGCCAAAGTTAATACAGTGTTACAAAATTTTATGTTCTCTATGTTAAAAGATCCTAATGTCAGAGCCGCGAAAATGTCTGTGGATATTATGATAGAATTGTATAATAAAAATGTTTGGAACGACGTCAAGACTGTCAATGTTATAGCAACAGGTTGCTTTTCGAAAATAACAAAAGTAATGGTTGCTAGTTTGAAATTTTTTTTGGGAACTCATTCGGAAGAAAAAGAAAGTGATGACAGTGATTCAGATGATGAGCCAAGTATGAAGGAAATTATAATGGCTAATAAAGTAAACAAAAAAACGAAGAAACGTCAGAAGCAATTAAAGAAAGCTAAACAATCATTCGTGGTAAGTTTAATATTACAGAATTCATCGTGATATTTATAAAAAATATAAACCATAACTTCTAATTTTAATGTATTTTTCAGAAAGCTAAAAAGAAGAAATCTAAAGCGCCGCAATATAATTTTTCAGCATTGCATCTAATTCACGATCCACAGGATTTTGCTGAAAAATTATTCAAGCAGATAGAAAAAAATAATGATAGATTTGAAGTAAAACTTATGACTCTGGATGTTGTGTCTAGACTTATTGGCTTGCACAGTTTATTTCTCTTGAACTTTTATCCGTATATACAAAGATTCCTTCAGCCTCATCAACGAGGTAAGATTAATAATATAACGTAGTTATTATAATTTTAATTGTCTAATTGCAAAATATTTAAATTTTTTAATAAATATCTGTCTTTATTTAATATTTTAAGGTATGTATTACTGTTGATTTTCTTGATTGCTACACAAGCTTTATCAATTTTTATTTCTGAATCGTGCAAAAAATATGTAGTTTCTTTATTTACGTAACTTTATTTAGATATTGTTTTTGTTTTTGTTTTTTTTCAGAGGTTACGAAACTTTTACAATTTATAGCTCAGGCTTCACATGAATTAGTACCACCTGATATGTTAGAACCCGTTTTGAAGACGTTGGCAAACAATTTCATAACGGAAAGAAATTCTGCGGATGTGATGGCTATCGGGTATGTAAATCTATTTTAATAATTTATTTGTTGCGAATATGCATACTGCGTTGTTTATATCTCGCTATTTATTTATAATATATTTCCAGTTTAAATACTGTACGCGAAATATGTACGCGATGTCCATTGGCCATGAATGAGGATCTACTTGAGGATTTAACACGCTACAAGCATTATAAAGAACGTTCCGTTATGATGGCAGCGCATTCTTTAATTGGAACATTCAGGCGTATAATGCCCGACTTATTACATAAAAAAGACAAAGGCCGTCCTACAGAAGCTAATGTTATGATAAAGTCTTCCAAATATGGTGAAATTCGAGCAAGCGAGTTTGTACCAGGAGCAGAAGTTTTATACAATCAACCTGCTAAGAATACCGAAGAGACCAGTGGTAGCGACGAAGAAGTAAGTGAAAACATTCAATTATATTTCCAATTATTTATTTTTGATAAAAGTTATAATATATAAAAATCTATTCAATTATAGGATGATGACGAGTGGATCGACGTAAGTGAAAACAATGAGGAGGAAATCGGTGACGAAGAAATCGGCGACGAGGAAATCAGCGACGAGGAAATCAGTGAGGAAGAAATCAGTGACGAGGAAATCGACGAGAACGAGTTGACTAATGAATCGACGAAATCTTCCATTAGCGAAAATAAGGATGATAAAACTTTGACGTTATCACATAGTGGGAACAATAGTGCGCAGAATACTTGTGAAGCGGATAGCGGAGAACAAAAAACAAATAAAATTTCGCAAAAGAAAAACGCTTTAACAAAGCAAGAAAAGAAGGCACAAAAATTAGAGAAGAAAGCAAAATTTAAATCTGAAAAAAATGAAGAATTAACGGCAGAGAGAAAAACAAAAGCATCTGTGATATCTACAGAAAGATTGCTCACAGATAAGGATTTCAGAAAAATTGATGTCGCATTAGCAAAGCAAGACGTAACATACATTAAACGTAGCGTTAAGAGAACGCACGATCAAATAGAGACAGATAAAGGAGAATTGGTAAAACTTAGCGATATAGAAAATATATATAAGAAACGCAAGCATGATAAGGCTGCCCGACAGAAATCTGTTAAGGTACGTATAAAGTGTTAAGGATTATTTATGGCTGTAATCTTTAAGCATTGACAGTCACAGTCGAATGAAAGAAGAATAGTCGACTATGATTAATCAATTGTTACAAATTATGGCATAAGTTAACAGATTATGGCCAGTGTAAATAATTCTTTTAATTTAATGTATGAGAATAATATAGCTCAGGTCAGCATCATTAAATTTACAGAAGGGGCAAAAAGAACGAGACAAATTCGGTTTTAAGGATCGGCGACAAAATCCATTATCCAGTACTACAAATCGTGAGAAGAGAAAAGGAAAAGCATTTTCAATGTTAAAGCAGAAATTAAGAACAAAAGTAAAGCGATCCTTTAGAGAGAAACAAATAGCTCTTAAAAATCATCTGATAAAGCAAAAAAGAATGAAATAATTAGTATTATAATTAACTTTTACTCCGCATTTTTCTTAATAATAGACATATGTAAGGTACAATTTGATGTACATATATAATGTACAATAATGTACTTTGCTCTACATTTAAATCTGTTAAAAATGGATGTCCACGTTATCTTGAAATTTATTATAGAGCTATATCAAGAAAACAGCTTCGCATAGATTCGTTTTGATAAAATTAGCAGAATAATGATTCTTTTCACAAAGATAGAAAATGTGTATGTTGAAAATACATGTGAAGAATATGTTGAATGTCACTATCGCCTGCCTCTCCCTCGTTCACCTCTGCCACCTCTACCGCCCCTGGCGCCGCGTCCTCTACCACGGGCAGCACCTCTTTCTTCTTAGCTTTAGCCTTTGGTGTATCATCAATTAGTAATGTTTCTAATGGTAATGAATCAGGCAAAATATAGTATCTTATATTGTTTCCCCGTAAACTAAGGGTTTCCAGTTGTATTGGTTCACGATTCTTTATTGTCATTTTTACTGTTTTTAGATGTGTGTTCATGGCAACATCAACACCTGTAATTGTGCCGGTGACTTGAGTGCCATTTTTTAATTCTATCGTTACAGTCTCATGACTGAGTTTCATCAAAAATCTTACTAACTTCATAATAATACGGCTAGATTACCTACTTCACAAACGAAACGATTTATCGATACCACCGACGAATTGTTGCATCTATCATAACTTTTAAATATATTATATTCAGACTAAAAAGCTAAGATGGACTATATGTGTATGCTTGTAAGCTCGTTAGTGCTTTTCTTTGTATATTTATTTTCCTTCTTTTGTATAAGTACTGAATCATACTTACTTCTTTTATGTACTGTATTTTATTGTCAATTTTATTAAGATTACATCAACAATTAGTATGATATTTCGTGATTTCGAAAGTTTTACGTAATATAAAAAGAATCTCGTTTATTTGTGAATAACAGAAGGATCGTTATATTGATATTAATTTTTAGAGATAAATCAAGAGAAATTGTAATCAAATCAAAAATAAGACAGGATGAATTGTAAAGAGATTATAAATAAATGAGACATAAGTAGAAATATATTGATAGTAACAAAAGTGAGTGAAAATTATTTGTAACTTAGCGAATCGAATCTATAAACATTCATATTATGTCTACGATTAGATGTAGAATTCTCTATTAAATATCTCTTTATTTTATTTCATGCCATTTACATAAATTGTTACTCTCTCACTATAGAATGAGGAAGGATATAAACATTCTCATACTGAATATATATGTATATACCATCTGCTAATAAAATTGTGTGTGTGTGTGTGTGTGTGTGTGTGTGTGTGTGTGTAATATAAAGTGATCATAAGATTTTATACATGCAATTATACTTCTAACACGCGGTAACTCATTTTGAACTTGATGAATCGGAACAAAAAATATTCGTTTCTTTTGAATTTCGATTGCAACTCTATTTTCTATTCGGAATAGTCGATGTTTATTTAACTTTTCTAATATAATTAAAAAATTAAATATTAAATCCTTGATTTTCTTTTATGCTACATTCTTATTGTTTAATTTTCATGATTTTCGAAATTAATAAAAGCAAAGTGCTCCACTTTTTGGTCCAATTCGTTTCAACTGGTTGCCAATCACGTTGGAGGATAAAACGCGTGGCCAATAGTTGTCGATGTAGCATTTGACCATAAAAGGAAAGGAAGTAAGAAATGAAGTTGGGCGCTGACAGTCATTATTCGTCTAAGACAGTCATTCGTCTTTGAACGCAGGTTTTCTTAGGTTGTTCTTCTGGTTTCTTAGCGTCATCATTACGAGCAACGTGATTTTGTACTTACGTCGTTTCGAGGTAACAATTTCTTTAAAATGTCGACGGTAGCAAGTCCTTTAGCTGTTGGAGGCATCCGACAATCGGGAGCACCAGTACGAACACAAAATGGTACGAATATTGATCAGCCCACAAAGTTTGGTTATATCGTCCCGTAGTTCTTGAAAAGTTTTGTGTTTTGTCGTTTTTTCCGTCAAAATGTATGTATTCACGAAACGAAATTGTAAATATTAGTATCGACTCTTCAACAATTAATTGTTACTACCATTTTATACGTTATATGAAATCGTACCAAACGTTTGGTAATTGATAGTAACCAAGAAATTAATGACTTAACATAGACGTTGCACATGCATAGTTATGTATGTGATACATTTATGATTCTATCAAATATTAGGTTTAAAAATAAATGTATGATAAATCTTGATAATAATGAAAGCAGTGCATTTCACTTGATGCTAACAACACTCTTGGAATTATTTCATCCTTTTTTTTATTATTGAATATTTAACAAGGACAAGTAATTATTATGAGCACTAAGTAGAAGGTATGCTTAGGAACATAAATCAACTTTGTATAGTATTTAAAAAATTAATTATATAAATAATAAATAGTTTATATACCTATATAATATAATGCCTGTAAATATGTGAAGTAAACATATTATTTGTCTTTTTCAGTTATGGCTGCCTGTGCTATCGCTAATATAGTTAAAAGTTCTTTGGGTCCGGTTGGCTTAGATAAAATGCTGGTTGATGATATTGGTGTATGTATTTAGCTTCTATATCTTTTAAAATATATAAAATATAAAGATTTAAAATATGTTAATTATGACATTAATTATTTAATTGATTTTTTTCAGGATGTCACTGTTACCAATGATGGTGCAACTATTTTACGTTTGTTAGAAGTTGAACATCCAGCTGCACGAGTTCTAGTTGAATTAGCTCAGTTACAAGATGAGGAGGTTGGAGATGGTACTACGTCAGTAGTAAGTGATTCATTTATATTTGTGTTAAATGGGAAATTTACAATTAAATATATATTTAATATAAAATATGTTATTTTATATTTAAAGGTCATAGTAGCAGCTGAGCTTTTAAAAAATGCAGATGAACTTGTGAAACAGAAGATACATCCAACTTCAGTCATTAGTGGCTACAGACTTGCCTGCAAGTAAATATCCCACTTCATTTTTTTTACCTTTTTATTTTTTATATAAAATTAATTTTGATTAATGTTAATTAATTAAATTATTAACAAAAAGATATTGGATATTTATTAAGAGGAAAAAAGAAATTATAATTTATATAACTTACACATGATCAATCAATTTCAGAGAAGCATGCAAATACATTCAAGAACACCTTACTGTCAGTGTGGATGAACTTGGAAGGGATTGCTTAGTTAATGTTGCAAAAACATCTATGTCAAGCAAAATTATTGGAGCGTATCCTTTTAATGTTATTTTCAGTCCTTGTTTGCAATTTGTTTTCGATATTTAGTAAAAACAATAATTTAAAATATGTTCTATAACTAATAATTAGTGATGCCAATTTCTTTGGCAATATGGTAGTTGATGCTGCTAACGCGATAAAAATTAGCGATGGCAAAGGAGGATTTTTATATCCTGTTAAAGCAGTCAATGTTTTGAAAGCACACGGAAAAAGTGTTCGAGAGTCGATTTTAGTTCAAGGATATGCTTTGAACTGTACCGTCGCATCTCAAGCAATGCCGAAGAGGATAACAAATGCGAAAATCGCATGTCTAGACTTTTCGTTGCAGAAAGCAAAAATGAAGTTGGGCGTCGAAGTACTTATTACAGATCCAGAGAAACTCGAAGCCGTTCGTCAACGTGAGGCAGATATTACCAAGGAACGTATTCAGAAGATTCTTGCTGCTGGAACTAATGTCATTCTTTTATCTGGTGGCATTGACGATTTATGCTTAAAGGTATAATCATATTTTAAATAATAAGTTCTAGAGTGCAATATATTTATTTTGATCTTTCCATAGTATTTCGTGGAGACTAAAACCATGGCAGTGCGCAGATGCAAAAAAGCTGATCTGAAAAGAATCGCTAAAGCTACAGGCGCACAATTTCTAACTTCGCTGACTAATATGGAAGGAGAGGAGAGTTTTGATGCCAGTTTCTTGGGGGAGGCTGCCGAAGTAGTGCAAGAGATGATATGTGATGATGAGCTTATTTTGATCAAAGGGTACATATTTTGTTACTAATATAGTGCAATTAATTAATTCCATAATTTTACAATTCAAGTCAAGCATTGATCTTTTTTGAGAGTTTCATAGTATTAAGAAAATAACAATAAAAGCATGATTTAGCTTTCTTTTTTATTTTAAGGCCAAAAGCACGTACAGCGAGCTCTATTATTTTACGTGGACCAAACGATTATTACTGTGACGAAATGGAACGTTCCATACATGACGCGTTATGCGTCGTCAAGAGAGTCTTGGAAAGCAAGAGCCGCGAGAGGAGGTTGCGTGGAGGCAGCACTCTCAATATATTTAGAAAACTTCGCAACATCATTGGTATCATTAAATTCTGAATTTTATCTAATCAATTTCTTTTCCTTTCTCTCTCTCTCTCTCACAGGATATTTATATTAGGTGTTGGAATTAATTCGTAGCGTTTTACAAGTGATGGGAAGTACTTTCATTAATGTATTTTTTAATGCTCATGTGAAATAAATAACATTCTTTCATTAAAAAACGCTACGAATTAATTCCAACATCTAATACATTTTTATATTATAGAGCTCCCGAGAACAATTGGCTATAGCGGAATTTGCTCGATCTTTACTAATTATACCAAAAACATTAGCCGTAAACGCTGCACAAGATGCAACCGATCTTGTCGCCAAGCTTCGAGCCTATCATAATTCCAGTATAACAAAGCCAGATCTTGTTGACTTGAAGTGGTAAGTTTGTCTTCTTTTTTTTTAGTTTATTATATAAAATAAAATATTAAAATGAATTATGTTTATATTTTTGTAGGGTGGGTCTTGATTTACTCGTGGGAAGTATAAGAGATAACAAAAAAGCAGGCGTGTTAGAACCAGCCATTTCAAAAATTAAATCTTTGAAATTTGCCACTGAAGCAGCCATAACCATCCTTCGAATCGATGATATGATTAAACTAGACCCTGAGCGTTCGAAAACTAAATCTTATCAAGACGCCATGGAAGCCGGTGAATTGGAAGATTAATTAAAATGTGCATTTACATATTATGTTGAATACAATGCGTTTATACGAAAAAAATGTAAAAGATTTGTAAATGTTTCACTGCATATATATAAATATCACACGATAATAAAGATTTAAAATCTTGCTGCTCGTATGTTGCATGTACACAATTTCAGTTTGCACATGCATAAAATGCTGATAAAGCTTAAGAAATAAAGCTATTTCATAATATAATGTTACATTTTTTTTTATTTGATTACATTAATACCATAATAAAATATGATATTTGTGCTAAAAAGAACATATAGGAGAAATGTTTAATTTTGTATTTATTACTAAAAACTAGGATATTTTTAAACTTACATTTCTTTGAATTATATGAATAAACTTTTATGTTTAAGAAAATTTTAATCATAGTATTTACAGTATAATGAAAATTTCATACTGTCTAATTATACCAATCTTATTCAAAGGTCTGTGTAATTTAACAATCAGTATGACTTAAAGCATATGTATTACGCACGTATATTATAAATTCATTTCGGATAAAAATATAAAATATTATATAAATATATAATAATATGTAATGTATACTATTATATAAATAATAATCAATATTAAATTTGTGTCACTCTTCATAAAATTGCGTTTAACATACAAATCCTACATACGGTAATAAAAAATGTGAATATTTTGTTATAGAATATTTAAAGTAATAAGTTTTAAGTTTAGATTGAGTGTTTTCCAGCAAAGACAATGAATCATTTCATTCTTGTTTAATGTTGACAAACAGGGATATAATGATTCATGTTTCTCTGTTCTTGCTGGAAAACACCTATTTTATAGCATCACGCATGTGTAAAAGATAAAAATAATTATAAAGAAACGCTTCTATTAACTTATAAATTATTATCTGATATATGTATTTGACAGTTCATTAATGGAAAATAATGGAGAATAACAGTTTTAAGTATTATATGATATGTATGTTTAGTAGGTTCAATATCGTTTATAAACGATGTTACATATAAACGATATTTATTTTCTC